CACAAAATAAGCAAGGCGGGTGTTTCTGGAGCACTTCTCGCATGGCTGAAAGATTACTTAGGCGAGAGAGAATTCTGCACCAAAGTCAACCGCATCCGGCCATCCTGGCACACCTCGGCATCAGGGGTTGATGTTTTTGATTTTTATCAACGACCTGCCCTCCCAACTAAACTGTTCCGCGCTTCTTAACGCTGATGACGTAAAGATTTGAAGAGCAATAAACTCATCGGAAGACTCAGACAGATTGCAGGCTGACCTGCAAACACTGGAAACTGGGCACTGGCTAACGGAATGCCTTTCAATTTAAAGAAGTGCAAAGTAGTGCAACTTCACTCCGCAGGTCACAGAGTGTAAACTACATCCTTGGCGGCCAGAACTTGAGTTGTGTTCCACCAGAGAGCGATCTAGGTCTTATTCTAACAGAAAAGCTAGACACCAGTGGAAATTGCGCGAGGGACGTCGCCAAAGCCTACGCAACTCTAAACTTTAAGCATAGGCAGCTGGGAGCTCTTACTCCCGAACTGTTCTTAAGGTTATATAAGACCTATGTAAATCACGTCTCATAAACCGTTAATGCCCAGCTCTTGCTACGCTAGGGCCCACTCTGTTCCTTGCAGTTTTTCAGAAACGCTTAGTTATAACGGACGAAAAAACCAAAACACCGATTGGCCGCTAGAGATTTCTTCATTGTTACACCAACATATAAAAATAATAACTGAACTAAGGTTTCTGACGATGTTTCACTCTTCTTTCTGAACAGCGACCGATGAGACGATGACTGTCGTATTGATGTCTCCACGAAAATTGGGGAAGTTGGTTTTGAGCAAACAACCAAGAATTGATCGTTCAATCTTCAACTCCATTGACACTCCCCGGCAAAAATGGGATCCAACCCTTTTTTCTTTCACGACCAATGCACGTTGACTTGGATGCCATTGCGAGAACCTGGGTCACACGGACAGAGCTGAAATGGAAAACAAACAGAAAAGCCAACACACCACAAGCATACTCACAGAACAATCTCACACATCAATGACGACCTGCGCCTCCAGATAGAGACCTCCTCTTGACATCTTGCAACACAATCGCCACTTGCTAGAATGACTCTTGCAGGACGCGACGTGACCATATCAGCACCTCATGATACTCTACGCACATCCTCTTATCTACTCACTACCAATTACCACTGCAATCGCTTGTCACTCATTCTGCCTCAGTTCTAGTAACGGTGACGTATGCGAGCCTCAGTCGTTTACACTCTTTCTCCCCGGCGTGTCGGACCGCAGCTAACAATTATCTCCGTGTGCATTTCATTCTCAGCAATAGCCTAGCCTCCCCGGCGTATACGACCCATCTGCTGTCCTTAACATCAATCAATTCATTCACGGATGTGGAAGACTCGAAACAACTTCAGAAGTAATCACGACGAAAATTTTAACAAAATTACTCAATAACAACAAGATACGAAAACAACAAGTAAACACAATGAATCCAAAAAACACCAATTGATATGACACACCACACGTATATACAAACTGTACACACAAACTCGCAGTTCATGTCTTGATGGAATTCCTTTGAAGAATCGCAGGACTTACACCAGTACGCCTACAACCCTTCTCACGTTGACGATTGTAATTTGTGGAATGTCCGGACACAAACAGGTTAACCAACAATTACGATAATCGGAACTCACACAACTATTTAACACAAACATATGTACAATCAACACACCAAATGTTGTGGATTCTGGCACGACAAACTACCCTTGAAGAACTGTAGGACTTACAGCAGTACGCCTACAACCCTTCTCAGGTTGACGCTCTAGGTTGGAAAATCGTCGCAGAGTTCATTTGCTAACTTCCTTCTATCAGCTATATCCTCAAATCTGAACGATAACACGCTCATGTCATTGTATCGTAGAATATAGATGACGAACGAACACACAACGTATCTGGTCAACCAAGCGTAGACACAGAGTAATTTACACCAAAGATAATAGCATTCAAATAGTAACTTGAAACTAGAAATGCCTTTATTCGTGCAAGTCAATTTAACAATTACTCTCTCGTTTACACTTGGCTTATTCTCACTGAACTGAGCAATATCTTTCGTCCTTTCAAACGCACCAGTACTATCATAGTCATTGCACAAGATACTTGAGTTGATGGGTGTCTTTTTCATTGTGGATGACAGCACCAACGACGACTGATTGATACCAGTTGATGAAGTTAGCGGTGGATCAGAAGCTGTTGTTATTCGGCTTTCAGAAATTTGTCTACCTGCAAGACCACCACCACTGCTGTCTTTTACTATCAGCTCAGGTTTAGCACTAGCATCTGATGATAGGTGGGCTACATGCTGATCAATCACACTGACGGTCTCACAAGTACGCATGCCTTCTGCAACTGCACCTGCATTTATTTCTACTTCACGTTCAAGTTCTACAGAACCTTTATTTAACTTAGCGGTAGTAGGCATTCCCTCCATTTCATCATGATCAACCAAAGAGAAATCTGCACTATCATGATCATTACCACAAATATTCAATTTACCGTCAAGTTCATCATTTTCAAACTCTTTAATAACAGAAGTAGACAATTTTGGCTCCTCCTCACAAATCATTAAAGGTTTTATATCTTCACTCTGACTAGTTATACTTTGTAAACGTTTGGAGTCAGAACTGCACTCTGAAGCAGCAACTCTATTCTGTGACACTCTATTCAACAATGGCTTACCAGTTGTAACTACAGACTTCTTCACCGCACCGTTATCGTCACACAATTTGGAGTCAGACCTTGATTTCACATTTAGCTTATCACTGAACTTGCTCACTGGTTCACAGTTCACCTTTGTATGCACCTCTTGCAAACGTGTAAAACACAACCGTGCTTGTCTTGCATCTTGTAACTTATCTGTTGAGGATGTACTACGAAACCTGTTACACTCACTAGGTCTATATGCATTACTGGACATCATGGAGCCTTCTCGATATCCACCTCTCTGAAACCCTTTCATCGTCACTGATTGCGTTTTACCCTCAGACTGCTCTATTCTAGGGGTGAGATTCAATATACTGGCAAACTTGCTCATCGATTGATTGACACTATCTTTTACTAGTTTCAGGATATCATCAAATTTTGGATCGATATCCTCTTCCTCTATGCGGGAGCTTATCTTCACCCACTTCCTTTGCAGTCGAGTAGGTAGGCGTCTCGCAATTACCTCTAGGACTGAGCTGGAGTTGAGGTCACTCATGCAATTCATAGAAATCAAGGTATTCTTATAAGTCATAAGATTATCTAAAAACTCAGTAAGTGCCTTGGAGTCATCTCGAAGTTGGCTGCCATTACCTTTGACAGCTTCGTATACGTTCCTTACAATCATTGGCCGCTTGAGATTTCTTTATTGTTACACCAACATATAAAAATAATAACTGAACTAAGGTTTCTGACGATGTTTCACTCTTCTTTCTGAACAGCGACCGATGAGACGATGACTGTCGTATTGATGCCTCCGCGAAAATTGGGGAAGTTGGTTTTGAGCAAACAACCAAGAATTGATCGTTCAATCTTCAACTCCATTGACAACCTTTGTGAGGCCACACCTTGAGGTGCCTAATATCATTGCACCTCCGCTACTTAAGAGGGATGCTAACATTCTAGAATGTGTCCAGTGACTAGCGACTAAATGGGTGATCGGCCTCGCAACAAATCATACGAGGAAAGACTAAAGAAATTGGGTCTTTTCACACTTAGTTACCGTAGGCAAAAGGGAGACCTCATCACCGTCTACCAGATCTTAAATGACCAGGCCCACCCAAATAAACGCATCCTGCCATTAAGTGACTATAGGCTTCCACGAGGTAACCCGCTAAGGATAGCACACCAGAGACCAAAGACTCGAGTGCGATCACATTTCTTTTAGCTTCGAGTTTGCAGTCTCTGGAACGCTTTACCACCGGCCGTGACTACAGCCCCATCTGTGGAGATTTTTAAGCGGAAGCTGAACAATCATGCAGACATGCAAGGTTTGTGTCTCAATGGCTTATCCTCATAAAACTTGAAACCACACTGTCAATGGATAAGCATACAAACTAAATCCCCGCGACCTGTTCTGCCTTCTCTCACTGTACCGACTACTCTGTCTTTTCCTTAGGTCACCTTTATTATTTCACTTAACTCAACCTATATTATCTACATTACAACCTATTATAATTATTACTATCCTGCTTTTGTGACTACACCTAATGACCAACGGGAGTTAGGTCAAACTACATTCACTGCAGCAACACAGTCCTAACATACTGCATACTACAAACCACATCCTGATCAATCTCCGCACCACTCCTCTTGGAGTCTACCACAGCTAAAGCAGTCGAGTGGCGGGACTTACTACGCAGAAGCTCACCGAAGATCTGGAACTTCAACCTCACAATCAAGAAGCGAGCTCAAAGAAATCACTGGTTTATACTAGCTCGTAATCAGGATATTGGATCTAAGGTATTTTCCATATTTTAGGATAATGTGGCTTGATATTTCGCTTCATGTGAGCAGGAGTACGATTTCGGGCCAATTCCTGAGTTGTCTGGACCCACTTTATTTCGACAGACTGACGAGGTGGCCTTTCTTCAGGTCGGTAGAAGTTGCTTTCCTTACCCTTAGAACCTTTTTTAACAGGGGAATGAAAATGTTTGCTTCTGTTTCCAGTACTTCTGAGGAGATTCCACTTTGTCACGCAGCCTTTACCGAAAATAACGCATAACCAAACAGCATCACTTGATTGCGGGTAGCAAGGAATAAACTAAGTATTTGGTCGTTATTCAAAACCCCTATCCTTTTGAAGTAGATTCTCAACAGAGTTGTCAGTCTCATCGATCAATATAGACCATTTAACTAATATAGGATATTAACATAGTCTATATCACTTAGATTAAGCAGATGCCTAATCCTGTTATAGCAACAGAAAGAGACATGTGTTTCTAATCTTGTGATTGACACATTGAAGTCTGTGACTACACAGTTTCAAGGTTTGCGCACTGGACAGATCAGACTGGATACCAGATTGAATATGGACGAAAAATATGATGTTATCGTTTTGGGGACAGGCCTAAAAGTACTGCTGGAAAATTAATTCTTTAAACTGTATCTAGGAATGCATACTCAGTAGTTTAATGTCAATAGAAGGGAAGAACGTACTTCATATTGACAGAAATAGTTTCTATGGTGGTGACATTACGTCCGTAACCCCTATTGATTTGCTGTTTGCACGGTTTAAAGTCAAGGCAGACACTAGTAAATATCAGCGGGGTAAGGACTGGAACGTCGATCTGATTTCGAAGTTTCTGATGGCAAATGGTATGTACATTTCAAGTTGATGATGGATGTAGGAAAACTGGTCAAGATTCTTATCCACACCGGTGTAACACGGTATTTGGAATTCCGAAGTGTAGAAGGTAGTTATGTTTACCAGGGAGGAAATGTCCACAAAGTACCATGTAACGAAAGCGAAGCTCTTAGTACAAGTAAGCTAAAGTTAATTGTTATTACACAAATAAAGAACTTATGGATCTGTTTAAGAAGCGTCGGTTTAGGAAATTTTTAGTCTGGGTGATGAACGTAGATTTGGATAAACCTGCAACCTGGAATGATATCTACGCATCACCATTGGATATCAGAAAAGACAATATTTCTAACGCTTTTAGTCATTTTACAATCGATGAAGAAATACAGGCAAGTTGGTATTTTTAAAAATATAAAGTAACATTTATACGACTTCTACCGAAATAAATCAAATGCATTACCCTGAAATGAATCTGGTCCATCTTATCAACCTTACGAAAAGCGGTGGAAATTGGCTATTGCGGTGGTTTGATGTTGTAAATTAGGAATTCCATCACTTCAACTAATTGTGAGATTGAGAACCACATCACATATTCCTTAAAGGATATTTCTTTCAAAATTCCCCACGCACTGTCAGTAATCATGTTAGTAACTGACTGGTTGATTGGTAAATTAGAATGCGAATATGTTTCGATCTAAGACGCCGCAGTTCTCCAAGAGTCATCGGCCACGTTCACAGCATCTTAGCCCATATATCCAATTAAATTCTTGGATTGATACCAATATTTTTATTTGACCAGTTGTAACTCTTTGATAAGCAAATCATTTTCCTGGACAGCATTGTTGGATGCGGAAAGCAGTGGTTAGGTATGCTTTACGCATGTCACAGTTGCGTTAGTCTATAAATGGGGTTCGTTGGCTTAAACATTTGACTTTCAGCTTGTTTACATCAGGTTGGAATCCCACTCTTTCTATTTGATCCTTGAAAGTATATTGGTAGCTCATAGCCTGATGCATGAAAAATCTGCTCTGGGTAGACAACCTCTTACTACTAATCCAGTTGACTAATTCCCAAAGCTATCCCGACTGCGGATTGAATAAGGTGTATGGTTGACTCATGATGATAACCATTACTAACATAGATGAATGTTTGGCTAACTTTTCCCTAAATCCAAAAGGTGAGTGCGTAAAGGTTTCTCAACTGTTTTTCACGTCCATTCAGTCTCTAACTAAATAACGTTTGGTAAAAGTGCACAGATATTCTAGGTGGAGTAATTGCCTTATGTTAATCCTCTCCATCAGTTACTTCGCTATCTGAGAAACATGTGAAACACTGTACGAAAGTGATTCAGTTCAAGTTCCCACATTGAAGATAGACAAGTACTTTCAGCAAAATAGACAAACATGGATGTAGATATATGAAATGCATCTGTGACTAATTAGGTTTGGCATTCGACCTCTATCCACGATTCCGAAATATCTCCACTTACATGGATTTCCGACTAAATAGTATCGTCATTCCTCATTAACAGTAACGTATAAATAGATGTGGACGGACGTAAAGAATAATTAAATGATGACTAATAACGTATAGGAAAATGGTCCTTCTTTGTTCATCGTTGACTTGCTGTCAGGAATAGCTGTATCTTTGGACGAATGCTGAGCTGATTTGTCAGCTCAGAACGTTCCACAAAAGTACATTATTTCTAGTTGGTACACTTTCAACCTGGAAGATAGAAAACAGTGAATACATCTGCACCACTGCGAACAATTTTGAGCTATGTCACCGAAAGTCTTTAAACCTTCATTCTCAGCATTTTGATGCTTTCAAGCAGACAACGACCTGTGAAATTCCCCTTATTTAAAACTCTTCAGATAATTAGGATTGACTATCTTGTCTGACTAATGCTTTTAGTCACTAGCCTCCAAACCTTCAGCTCATTAAAATGAATATCCTTAATCTTTAAATAGTGTAACTCACTACAAGTGTGGTTGGTGTTAAAGTTTTGTTTTCGTAGTGTGTCTAACCTCTACAAATCGTTAGCTTTAAGTATATGTTCTACTGCGATAGTGGTTTTTACGACTTAGTGATCTGTATTGCGCAACACAAGTGTCTGTCCAATATTTCGGTGCACCAATGTTTTTCTCTGTCTGTCTGGGGTATCTGGTTCATATCATAAATTATTGTGAATGGTCAAACTTGTCCTTTTTTACCAGGTCATACGTTATCATCTTTTCGACACTTATGCTGGACTTTAATCTGTTAATATTTGTCCGTCTTGTCTGTGATCATTCGTATTCTAAAGTATAATAAATTTGTTCCCTATGTAGAATTTCATTGGCCATGCAATATGTTTGTTCCAAGATGATTCATACAAAGAGAATGTACCCGCAGCTGAAGTGATAAGTCGTATGCAACTTTATAGTCAATCGGTTTGTCGATTTGGCAAATCTCCATATTTATACCCGCTTTATGGACTTGGTGAACTACCTCAAGCATTCGCTCGTCTTTCTGCTGTTTACGGGGGAACATATATGTTGGATAAACATATTGATGAACTGGTGATCGAGGAAGGTAAAGTGATTGGAGTGAAATCGGGTAATGAAATAGCACGTTGCGACATGGTTATCTGCGACCCTAGTTATGTGCCGAATATGGTGAAAAAAGTTGGGCAGGTAAGCTAGCTATTATGATTGCACCTGTTATGCAGCTAATTTAGAGCAGGGTTCCTATCTCAGTGTGTTTACTAGACAGTCTGACACGTTCGTAACGAGCAATAGGTCTAGAATAATATAGATTCAGGTTTCCATATTATAACCCCATTTCACTAGGAAAGCAGTGTAAATTGTTCAGCTAATATATATTCAAGGCTCGCTTCAATCACTCAATAAGTAAAGTGCACTTTAGTGTCCAGTCACTTTGAGTGTTAACAAGCTTAGTTATTCAAACATATTCCACAGAATGCTCTGTCTGTCTTCAGCTACCAGTAACAAAATCTAAAATAGTGTATGTCTGCGAAGATAAGTTTCCTAACAATTCAGTCGCTTACATTCCTAATCTTAAGAACTGGACGACCAGATGAGACCGAAGACAGTTTCAAGCTCAAATCCATATATGTGTAGAACTTGGGTACTGTATTAGTTGTGGAACTGTTTTTATAGTTGTAAACGGGAGATTGTGTTTGAAACATCGTCCGTTAAATAATACTGTTTCACTGTGCAGTTCATCTAATATAAATGCTGTCGTAAAAATTTGAATCCAATTCATGTATCTTGGCTTATGAAAGCATACTTTGTGTTCATAGCCAAGTAAGCGAATCTGTGCATTGTGATTGAGTTATTTTATTCCTTTGCGTTTCTAGTGAAACATAGGACTTCAAGCCATAGCCTTGAAGTTTCTGTAGCAATGGTCTTTATTTTTACGAGATGGGGTTGCTAGCTAGCCTCATGCACAACTTTCCCTCTCAACCAGTCTTATTACTGGCTTAGCAGGGTAAACGAGGGCATCGTCGGCCAAAAATCGAACCCCGAACCACCTGCATGGTTGGCGAGCATTTTACCTCTGCGCGAATAACTGACTAGTTAGTTAAATTTCATTTAATATGTTTAAAACAACATTTTTTCTGTGCTTCTTACTAGTGCATAGCAACGATTTTCTCACGTTGCTATGTAGAGATTAGACAGTTCTATATGGATAATGGGTATTGACATGGATTGGGAACAATATCTCACTCAAACAACAAACTTATTTCAAAAAATATACAATAATCTAAAGGATAAATCATTGGCTGATTACACTTACGCTTGTTTGTTTAATTTATCTTTAAGGTTGTACGGGCTATCTGCATACTTACACACCCAATAGATGGTGTACACAATTCTCTATCGACTCAAATTATTATTCCTCAGAGTGAAGTTGGTCGCAAACATGGTAAGATTATTCCAATCCCACTAATACACACTCACACTACTTTTAGATATATACATTTCATGTGTTTCTCATTCACATAATACCTGTCCTGAAAACTTCTTTCTGGCTCATGTTGCAACTATTGCTGAGACAGCTAATCCAGAAAAAGAATTGGAACCTGGTTTAAAACTTCTTGGATCAATTGAACAAGTATTCTATTCTACGCAAGATCTATTTATTCCAATAAATGACGGGCGTGAATCTAAGGTTCGTTTTAGTAAACTAAACTATGTTTTGTTGCTTGAACTCAGTCCCTCGAGATGGTTCTTGTTACAGGCTATGAACCACACTTGTTGTATAAAAGCTTTTGAGACTACCGAATTGCCAAGGCTGAAGTAGATAGAGTGTGGCTTGAAGCCAGGGCTCACCGATCAAAAGTCGAGTGCTTAAGCCAGTAAGCCACATCTCCACTACTTTAACTATACACACTTACGCCTATCATTATTAAATATTTACCTGTAGTTCCTTTCGAAAATCTGTTGACTATATTTCGCTTCTTACGAACAACACCATTTCATATCTAGGTTTTTTTTAAAGCTGATTGTTATTTGTATTCCACTAAATAATAGTTGTGTACCGTTTGGCTGTAATATATTCTAAAGATGCAATACTATATGCGTTTACTAGCTACACTAGTACTGTAAAATCATTAATTACAACACGAAATATGGTTATGTTGAAAACCAACGTGTAATCTAAATGCTACTTTGAAAACTATAGTAAGGTAGCAGTATGTGATTCATTCCTAGAACTTTCTACGAAACATATTGTTACAAAGTAATCAAAATTATCTCCCTTTGTTCTTTTCACTCAGTGTCGAGCGTTTGTAAAACTTTTAGATGAAATCTTGATCAAATTTCATATAAATTATCAAGCATTAACTTAATATACATGTCCAGGAGGTTGTCACTTTGTTCATGCTCGATCGATAGCTGCTTATCTTTACGTAGTAGTTGAGCTTCCATATCACAATGACCTGACAAGCTACACTGGCTGGAACTATTGTTCTTAGAAGGGTTTGGATAGCGATTAAACTAAAAGTAGTTACCGGCATAGTGTAAGGTGTTTATGCTATGTTGGTGGTCTGTGGACATAGTCGTACAGGGATGCAACAACAGTAAGGTTTTTCCCTCAAATGACCAGCATGCCTACCATTCTACCTTCCCACTCTAGAAAGAGGGGGTTAGAAGGCATCGACCCCGGAAATTGTACATCCTGACCTACCCTACGGCCGTCCGTAGCCGTCAGTAATTCCTCAATACTGACACAACTCTGATAACCAATTCAAACAGGTCATGTGTGACCAGCCTCTGGTAGTTGTCCCCTGGATTCTCTTTCTGTTTCAGGTACTCCAAGTCACTCAGTCACCTTGTTCCAAATATTGAGGTTGAATATTTGTGATCTTGATGTTTCCGTTCTACGCACGCACGGGCGCTTTGCTGTTCTGCTTATTTTCCTGAACCTCGTTATATTATTTTTCAGTTTCAGTAATTCTTTTCAAGTGTATGTATGCATCATTTGTCTTGATTCTCTGAAGTGGTTTACTGGTATTGAGTCGAAATCGACATAAAAGAATCTGAGCAAAAAAATTGTAATTATTTGTAGTAGCTAATTTTATTGTCCTTAACTTGTTCACAAGTATCAAGTGTCAGTTACCAGCGTTGCCGAAAATTCCTAGCCAATTTAATAATGAATTCGGACAGCACTCACAGATGAATGGAGTGTTTATTTAAACAGAAAGCTAGAAGTTGCAAAAGCATAAAAATTATTTAATACATTATACTGGTAGTGTTTAAGAAAGATAGTGTTGATCCGTTGTCTGTAAGCCTAAATGTTAGTCGAAGTTATCATAATGTAAGTTTCGAGATTAAGTGACGAGCCTAATTTTCAACAAGTAATTGTGATATTTTATCAATGCTCGACTGATTTAAGTTAGACCACCGTTTGAGTTTCGATTCACTACAAGTTAAACTATGAATTGACACCATCGAAAACCAGGGAATATTGGAGAGTCGTTTCGTCCTAGCTTGGAACTCTCCAGCAGTACGCACCGATGACGCAACGAGGAATCGAGTCAGGAGCCTTCAGGTTATGTGTAAAGCGTGCGCGTTAACTGTTCAGCCACTTGGATGTGGAATCCAGTGGTCAATGAATTCTAACATCTCCCAATACATGTTATATACCAACACCGCTAGTCAGGGTCATCGGTGCGTATTCCTTCTCACACCCCACTGGTTGCGACTTCTCACAAGGCGTCAACCAGTGATCTAATTAAACTCTTGGGAATCAACGTATAGTCTGGGTAATCTAAATTTCAAGATACATTGTTTATTGTGCTGTTTTGACTAGTTTCTCATACAATTTGTGTAGTCGGTCAAAAAATGATTATTGATCGTCTTTTCATTTTCTTGCTTGTTTTATACCCTTAATAGCAGGATTCATTTCATGTTTTTGTTGTGGCACAGACAGATGAGTGTATTTGTTTGTTTGTTGTTATTGTTGCTGTTGTTGTTGACAAAATGTATCTTCATTGCGTTGAAAATTGCTTGTGTTTTGTTTCGATATTTGTGTACTATTTGTTACTTTGAAATAGTTCCCTTAAGAAAAACAATACCCTTTAAAAATTTCACTGGTTTTTAAGTTCTGTATTTTGTGTTGTTATTTTTTTAGAGATGGTTTTCATCAATAAATCTGCACGTGGTCTAACACATGTTGATACCTACCTACATACCAATATGTGTACTAGGCATCCGTTATGAGCAGCTTACATTATACTTAAAACTCAAGAGGATCTCCAAATAAGTAGTCAACGAGCTCGCCTCGTAACCTGAAGATCCTAGTTTCGATCCCCAGTGGAGGGGGTCATGATTGCGTACTTCAGCCTGGCCGACAGGTCAGTATCACAATTAGTTGTGGCTTATTAGAGTCTGGAAAATATGTAACATTTTCAAGGAACTGATTTCAAACTAAGTAACCTTTTGAAAACCATCTCCTAGTTAGCGAAAAAACAAATTCCCGGTGTATTATATTTATCGTTTCTCCTGTTATTGATTTCAGATTTTCATATCAACAAGTTATGATGCTTCTACGCATTTTGAATCGACTTGTGCTGATGTCTTAGACTTGTACGAGCGTATCACTGGACATCCGTTTGATTTTAATAAAATAACTCGATGTGAAGAAGTCGGTGAGTGAGTGAGTAGATTTCCGCGTAATTGTCTCTGGAATGCGAGAATGGCATAATTAATCTCTGAAGGATAAGCAAGAAGCTCGAGTTGTCCTGCCAATAATTACATCATGGTGTCGCTTTGCTTATTCGCTATTTTAACTCCTCAGTGTCTTTTACAATTTAAGATAAAGTGCTTTTAATTAAAAGGGTACTTGTTTTAGTTTTTTTTAAATTTATTTATTTGTTTGCCGTGTGTGTATTCAACAATCACTTTCTTCTTATTATACTTTCTAATATTTTCTTTGCTTCATCGTTTATGTCATTCCTTGTGGGTTGAAAGTATATTGTGATATTTCATAATTTTATATTACTGCTTCCTTTTCTTCTTATTCTTATCCTTCTTTTTCGTGATGGCCTCAGTGTTTTGTCGTCTCTCTCTCCTCTGTGATAAGCACAATCTATACCTCAATATTTTCTAAGATCTGACTGACTGACTATTCTATTATCTGCATATTTATGCTAGTGTATGTGTTTGCGTGTGTGTGCAATACATTTATGCCTTGAAGTTTCTTTTTATTGCTTTATTTGCCGATGATGCAGTCACATATTTCTCAATGGCATTATCTCCGGTGATGATGGTGGTGATATTATAACAGGTGTGAGGGTCTCTCACCCACTCACCCACGTATGTTTATCTCTGCATTCATTTGTTAGTGTGTTTCCTTTCTTTTTGACTGTTTATCAACAGCAACAATGGAACACAATCACCGACATATATATATTGTAGTTTTCTCTCTCACTTTCTCTTGCCTTTGAATGTTTTATGTTGAGCTATTTATTTATGTCATATCTTATTTATTTTAATAACTTTGTCGTTTAGTGATTACAGTGTTTGAATAATAATACTAATATTACTATTACTCTTTCAATTGTTTTTTGCAGTTTAATCACTCGGGTATGAATAGGTAGTGAATGTATTTCGCATTCTGATTGCCTGTCAGCCTATCTGACCCCGATTTGTTAGTTTATGCATAGAATATGCAGATGATATAGTCCTTCTAGGCGAGGACGCTGACAAAATGCAGAGTCTTCTGAACACATTGAGCTGCAATCTACGAATGTCTGGCATACGATTCGCTCCCGCAGAACTGGACTACTCTGACTCCTAGTTTAGAAATAGGAAGTGCGTCGGTGGCAAAGCGGTTAGGACTCCCGCCGACTATGTACATGGTCTGGGGTTCGAGCCCCGCCGACGCACATCTGATATCTTTGGTTGGCCGGCAAAATTTGGGCTACCAATATCACATGCTGAAAATTCCATACTTGTACCAAAAATACGGCATGGAATCAGGCTATAATAAAAAAAATTAAAAAGAGTGAAGTGGAAGAGCACGTTGACCGCTTCACTTATTTGGGAAATACCATCAGCCCTAACGGGTTGATCTCCGATGAAACTTCAGTAAGGATACAGAGGGCTAGTTTCGCAAATGCTAGGCGTAGACGTGATATCCGGCTATCGATCAAAGGGCGGGTGTACTGCCCATCAGTTCGCTCCGTCCTCCTTTATGGCTGAGATTTGGCCATGGACAGTGGAAGACATAAAAAGATTAGCTATCTTCGATCATAGGTGCCTGTATTCTATCTCCCGTGTGAAATGGTATAATAAGGTGAGCCATATTGATGTTAGCCGTCGAGTGCTATGTAAGGAGGGGAAATCAATCGACGAGGCTGTGAAATTACATCGACTGAGATGGTTAGGGCATGTGTTACGTATGCCTAGTCATCGCCTTCCTCGATAATGGACAATGTTAGCTGACGTAGGGTCAGGCTGGAAAAGAGCTAGCGGAGGTCAAACAAAAACATGGCACCAGTCAATGAAATCCACAACAGTTAGTTTAAGCCACGTAGGAAGGTGTAGACAGGCTTCCTGGTTGGGGTCCTCGGGATGGTAGAAACCAAAGGTTGGAAACAATTGGTGACATGGCTTAAAATCGTTCTCAATGGCTGGTGCAGATGCATCCACTCCTTGTGACATATGATTTCCAATGAAACTATATCGTTCTTCGTTATTACTATTCCTTTGTCTCACACCTCTGCTTACTGTCTCTATTATGCATTTCTTGTACTTTCTTCTCTTGCTTTGTGTGGTACATGGAGTGTGGTGACTTGAACTACCGCACATATGTGCAAAGTTCTACGTCGAAAACAGACAGGTAATGACTTTGTTTCATAGATTGTAAACATCAGTTTTTAGATCTTAGTCACGAACCAACATTAGTTGGAGAGGTCAATGAAAACCAGTAAGCACTGGGCAGCCGGCTGTTTCATCCTAGTTTAAGACTCTTCACAGTGCTCATCCACGAACCCATCGGGGACCTTTAGGTTCCGAAACCAAGCTCGTTAACTATTCATCCCACTTGAGAGAGTATTCAGTGACGCGCGAATTCTAATTTTGTCAGTGTATGATAGAATACTACCCCCACCAATATCTTCGATGAACAACCACTTTACCTTGACATAGTAAACGAGGCTGGTCATGACTTCTTAGTAAAGCTTCGGGACATCTTTCTAGTAGCCATCAATGAGGTGGATATATATATATATATATATAATAACAATGACCAGCATTAAATCACTAACTTACACGTGAGTATCCAAGACAGATGGTCAAGTACACGAATCAGCATAGTGTTGTTTAGAGTAGTGCAGAAATTCAAATTGCCGAACTCTGAAATTTTATGGAGACCAAAGTGAAGTTGGATGAAACTAGCAAAACTTTGGGTGTTGGGAGAGATTAGCAGAGTTATTACTTATTGGATGAGCACTGGATTTCTAACTACTGTGCATTAGGTGTGGACATCTCTCCATCTATCAAGAGTCTCAGCCGGGCAATACTACCAACCCTTTCATCATAATAAGTGAGTGTACATGTGGTTGTTGGGTAACACCAAAACTTCCATCATGACTAAGACTTCATATGTATACCTCGTTCCAAATTATCTATATCATATCACCACTGTCTCTTCAGTCACTGATTTCTAACTTTATGAGGACTAATTGCAATTATTTGACTGTCGTCACGAACCAACATCACTCAGAGAGACTGCAACCAATGTTACTCAGACCAGCTGTCAGAGACATCATGAATGTTGATGGCATGTCAAATTACGGAAGTCGCGAATCCTCAGATTAAGCAGGCTCAACTGACTAGAAGGAATTATCTCTCTATGAAACTGTAAATTCTAAGATATTTCTCAGTACTGATTGTTGAATAACACAACTAATAAAAGTCGACTTTCAAGATATCAGTTTGCAAAGGAATTTCTCACCTTAAAATTCCTCTAAAATATATAAGCAAATCAAATTTCAGAGGAGATGTCATTATCAGTATAAAAATGACATTATTGTCTACCACTTATAGTTACTACTTTTTTGGCACCCTTAGCTTTTGTCACACTTGCGATTCTCATTTTAGGTTTCTAGAGAACTTTCCAATCCATCTTTGTCATTCGACAGCTTATATCATTTCTAGCATAGATATGATATCCGGCTATCGATCGAAAGGACGTGTGTAGTGAGCAGCAGTTAACACTGTTCTCCTTTATGGTTATGAGACGTGGCTGCTGAAAGCAGATGTGCAAAGCCTATCTATCTTTGAACGCAGATGTTTGCGTCCTATCTCAGGTATTAAGTAGTATAATATGGTGGGTAATATTGGGGTTAGGCATAAAGTCTTAAGTAAAGAGGGCATGTCAATCGATGAAGTTGTGGAGTTGAATCCATTGAGATGGCTAGAATACGTGTTGCTCATGCGCCAAGCCACCACTTCCTCGTCGACCACTGTTAGCTAACTTAAGATTATGTTGTAAAAGAATTATGGGGTAGTCAAACCAAATGCATAGATGTATTCACTCTCTGAGATCCCTCATATCCACTAAACTGTCATGTTCTTCCATGTAACCATTCTTTCCCAATCAAGTTTCTGCTTATAATGGTTCTTTTAAATTTCTTTGGCTACCTTTGTGTGATGCATGGAGTGTGGCAACTTGAACTTCGCTAATTTCTATGCTGAATCTCAGTCATCTTCGCCACCATATCCATTCAAGATATTCTTGTAACTACTCAGCATTGTAGAAAATGACGTTCACCAAAATCACATCTTCAATAGATGTATTCACCTTGCTATTTAGTGTCTTAAGTATTTTCAGTATACGTCTTTCATCAACACATCAAACTGGAATGTATTTGATATTACAAGGATAAAAAATTGAAATTTCGTGGGAAGTCTTGACCAATGGGGGTACCACAGGTTGGGTGTGAGGACAAATACTTGCCGATGACACTCGTTAACGGTCGCACCATATCGTGAATTGACAAAAGTTGGAATTCATGCATTGGCCATTGGATCGGTTTCCAGTGGCTTAATGGTCTACGAGCTCTCCTTGTAACCAGAAGGTCTTGGGTTCAAACCCTGGCGGTGGGTGCGGACTGTCGAAGAGTCTCAAACTAGGACAAAACGACTGTCCAGTACTCCTGGGTGGTTTTCCAATGGTCATCTAACCGATGTTAGTTCATGATGAAATCCTGAAAAAAAATCAAATTATTGGATGATGTGTTAAAAAGGAAAATCTGTCTTCACTGCTACGATGAATTTGATGTACATTTATCAAAACAAACTTTTTGGATTTACGGCAGCAAGAGATGCGCCACACAAAGTCTCATAGTTTGTGCGAAGGCTTAGATGCTGATCGTACACTCACATCTAAGTATGCTGTTGTCTTAAGGGGGCACTCTTTATTGAGTGATCCACAAGGCAGTGGGACTGAGTTTCTAATGATCGATGGTGAGCAAGACATATTCACACGCCATTCGATTCCATCGGATTCTGGATCCTATGTACGCTATGGGTTTGAAATCATCGTTCCCGAGCGCTGGTAGTATGTAATTCCATATTACCGTGTTTATTAGATATATCACACAGTGTAACAGTATTATTCACTGGATAACAAAGTTTCATTATCATCATACCAATGATAACTACACAACTCCCTCTTATAGTTTTCTTAATCTGTTCCTATTCGTTGTAGAGGTAGTAGAGTTTTCCAGATGTCCGGGGTAGGTGTTGAATCATTCCTACTGTACATACCTTCAGTTGATTCCCTCCACCCTGTTATATTACATTATACGACTGTCATCTTATCCCATCCTATTTATGGTTGCTTATGACCGCGTGTAGTGCTATAGCGGAAAACAAAACCTAACGAAATCTACATTAGTTGACCCTAATAAGATAAGAAATTTAGAAAATAACTCAACTATGTATGGGTACAAACTGATAGAAAATAGGATGGAATAAATTAACAGTCTGAAGATCTAATATAACATAGTTGAGAAAGAGACTGATAACTGAAGTTTTATTTATCGAATCCAATTAGAGTACATGTCATAGGAACGAGTCAACACCTGTCACGAACATCTTGGAAATTGTTTCACCCTTACAACAAATGTTGTGTAGTTACAACTGAAGTGATTATTTGAAAGAAGAAATATTGGCGCAGAATAATCTGGATCCATTTTATTTCCTTGGTTCTCATCAGCTGTGTACAACCTGAATTCTTTAATAAAATAAAAAGTGTACAATTTTAACAAACTTTTGTCGATTAGCAAGCATATTGTCAGAGCGTCATAGTAAAATAAGGCGTTGCGATTTACAGGGTGTCTAAAGTGTTACGACATATATATATATCTTGTTAGAGAGAAGTTTCTTGAAAAAATTAATTAACAGTTGTGTTTTTGGGGTGGTGACAAAAAAAAATTAGTAACAGTTGCGTGCACATGAGGTCAGATGAGAAGTTGATGATGTAATACAGTGAGCAGAAGATCAAGAAAAATTATCTCTTAAGAGAGTCAAGCGAAAAATAAAGGGAGG